CCGCTTTACAGTGTTTTACAGCCCTCTCTAAATGGTTTACAGAGTCAGCATATTGCCCCCCCAGAATTTGGGTCCTCATTTTACTGACCTTGGACAGCTGAGTCAACCTTGAGCCTGGTGAGATTTGAATTGCCAAATTGCAGGCAGCTGGCAGTCAGCAGAAGTAGCCTGCAATACTGCAAGCTAACCGCTGCGCCACCTTGGTTCCTAAGCCATCATCTTTAATTTTTTGGTCCACTCCTGCAGATGCCTCAGCTACAAATGTTAAGGCAAATGATGGTTTGGAGTGTAATTAGGTCCAGAACCCAATTCAAAGTCAAATTTAAATTTCACCTCGTAAATCTTTGCCCGCATTTGTTTCACTGTGCCCCCACCAATGCTCAAAAATCCTAAACAGATCTCCTGTGTGAGATTGAATTTTAAACTGTGGGCATCTTTGAGGCAGAAGGTTCCTTTGTGTTCCTGCAAAGAACGTAAGAAAACCAAAGGAGGAATGGCAATTTTAAAATTGCTCCAAGCCTCTTAAATTGGGTACGCGACCAAGCAAGGGCTGGAAATACAGGCAGTCCTCGACTTATGAACGGTCACTTAGCAACCATTCCAAGTTATGACAGGCCTCCAAAAAGGTACTTATGAGCCAGATTCAAAGCACTCAGGTGACCCCAAGTGCTTCGACGAGCCTCTAAAAGGATGCAAATGTCCATCTGTCTGCAAAGAGTATAAATCCTTCTGTTCCCCACATCCAGTCAGAGCTGAAGAAGCTTCTTGGATGAGAAGAGAAATGTCTTCCAAGAAAAACCAGAAAGTCCAGTTGCCTCTTGAAAAAAAAAGTACCTTTGGGACTCCAAGTGGCCTCAATGATTGTAAAAGGATGCAAACGACCAGCTGTCTGCAAGGAATATAAATCCTTCCCTTCCCCACCATCTGGTCAGAGTAGAAGAAGCTTCTTGGATGAGAAGCAAAACGTCTTCGAAGAAAAACAAGAGTCCAGTTACCTCTTGAAAAAAAGCACCTTTGGGACATCCAGATTCAAAGTTCCAATGTTCAGTCCGTCTCTCTCTCTCTCACTCACACACACACACACAGTCATGTGATTGCATTGTGCTGCACCACAGTGTCCGATACAAGGAGGAAACTGATCGGCCTCTATTTTGCAGAAAGGGAGTGGGGGGGCGGCAGGGGTGGAATTCCACCGGTTTGGACCGGTTCTACAGAACCGGTTGTTATGATTCTGTGCAGTTCAGAGAACCAGCTAATCGTGCCCCTGGCTGGCCCCTCCCCTCCCCTCCCCCACCCAGTCAGTCCTTATCGTGCATGCACAACGTTGCCCGCATGCCCGACATTGCTGACTGCGTTCTTCCCCGCCCAGTCACTCCTTAAGGCATTTTTTTTCTCCCTCCCGACAATCAGCTCTGCTGGGATTCCCCTCGCTTGCTAACTGCTTTGCCCAGGAGGCTTCCCTGAGGCCCAGAAGGCCCAAAAAATGGAGGGGGGATGCAGCACCCCTCACCCCCTCCATTTTTTGCCTTCCTTGGCCTCAGGAAAGTCTTCTGAGAGGAAAAACGCCCCCGCAGGAGGCTTCCCTGAGGCCCAGAAGGCCCCAAAAATGGAGGGGGGATGCAGCACCCCTCACCCCCTCCACTTTTTGCCTTCCTTGGCCTCAGGAAAGTCTTCTGAGAGGAAAAACGCCACCCGCAGGAGGCTTCCCTGAGGCCCAGAAGGCCCCCAAAATGGAGGGGGGGTGCTTCAAGAAAAAGAAAAAAGAAGCCATGCCCACCCAGTCATATGGCCATGCCCACCTAGCCACGCCCATCGTAGAACCAGGTGTTGCAAAATTTGAGTCCCAGCCCTGGTGGTGGGAGGAGGTGGGAAACGGCCTGCCTGAACACTCCGGTTCTTAATCACGGTTAAGAGCCAGTTGCAAGATAAAATAGAGAAATGAAGCATATCATAATATAAATATAACGTAATAGTAAAAATAATACAATGAAATTATGTATTATAACCGATTACTATGGAAAGAATTATAATTCGCTCAAAAAGGATGAAGTAAATAAAGTTTAATGATGATTTAACAGTAAGATAGCATGATACGGAGAGTTTTTTTACAATATGAATTTTAATCAAAGTTTTCGATGGAATGACTGCTGATATTCTGCACAAGAGATATGTACCAACCAATACACTGTACAATTGAAAGATGGTTTTATTTACTGTTTTATGTCTGTGTTTGTTTATGTTTGTTGTCAAAATAAATAAAAATTTCAAAAAAAAAAAAAAAAGAGCCAGTTGCAAGATGCAACTAACACAATGTAACTCCAAGTCAATCACACTTCTGTGAAATCAAAATCTCCACTTAGGTAGCAACACTGATTGACAATCAATTTCACATGCTGTTGTGCAAATGGCATAGACAACAGGTGGAAAGCATAGGCAGTTAGCAAGACATCCCCAATAAAGGAGTGGTTCTGCAGGTGGTGACCACAGACCACTTCTCGGGTCCTATGTTTTCTGGCTGATGGTTTGGTCACCTTTGAATGCTGGCGGTGCTTTCACTCTAGTGGTAGCATGAGACAGAGTCTACAACCCACACAAGTGGCTCAGGTAGTGCAGATCATCCAGGATGGCACATCAATGCGAGCTGTGGCAAGAAGGTTTGCTGTGTCTGTCAGTGTCGTGTCCAGAGCATGGAGGCGCTACCAGGAGACAGGCCAGTGCATCAGGAGACGTGGAGGAGGCCGTAGGAGGGCAACGACCCAGCATCAGGACCTCTACCTCCACCTTTGTGCAAGGAAGGGCAGGAGGAGCACTACCAGAGCCCTGCAAAATGACCTCCAGCGGGCCACAAATGTGCATGTGGCTGTTCAAACGGTCAGAAACAGACTCCATGAGGGTGGTATGAGGGCCCGACGTCCACAGGTGGGGGTTGTGCTTACAGCCCAACACCGTGCAGGACGTTTGGCATTTGCCAGAGAACACCAAGATTGGCAAATTCGCCACTGGCACCCTGTGCTCTTCACAGATGAAAGCAGGTTCACACTGAGCACATGTGACAGACGTGACAGGGTCTGGAGACGCCGTGGAGAATGTTCTGCTGCCTGCAACATCCTCCAGCATGACCGGTTTGGCAGTGGGTCAGTAATGGTGTGGGGTGGCATTTCTTTAGGGGGCCGCACAGCCCTCCATGTGCTCGCCAGAGGTAGCCTGACTGCCATTAGGTACCGAGATGAGATCCTCAGACCCCTTGTGAGACCATATGCTGGTGCGGTTGGCCCTGGGTTCCTCCTAATGCACGACAATGCTAGACCTCATGTGGCTGGAGTGTGTCAGCAGTTCCTGCAAGACAAAGGCATTGATGCTATGGACTGGCCCACCTGTTCTCCAGACCTGAATCCAATTGAGCACATCTGGGACATCATGTCTCGCTCCATCCACCAACGCCACGTTGCACCACAGACTGTCCAGGAGTTGGGGGATGCTTTAGTCCAGGTGTTGGAGGAGATCCCTCAGGAGACCATCCGCCACCTCATCAGGAGCATGCCCAGGCATTGTAGGGGGGTCATATAGGCATGTGGAGCCCACACACACTACTGAGCCTCATTTTGACTTGTTTTAAGGACGTTACATCAAAGTTGGATCAGCCTGTAGTGTTTTTTTTGAGTGTAACTCCAAATCCAGGCCTCCATGGGTTGCTAAATTTGATTTCCATTGTTAATTTTTGTGTGATTTTGTTGTCAGCACATTCAACTATGTAATGAACGAAGTATTTAATAAGAATATTTCATTCGTTCAGATCTAGGATGTCTTATTTTTGTGTTCCCTTTATTTTTTTTGAGCAGTGTATATATGTCAGATCAGGATGCCACAGAGAAAGAAATGAAGCTTCCTTCTCATCTCTTCGTGCCAAGGAGAATAAATGCTCTGAGGCTTTGCGACAACCTAGTCTACTCTTCCCCCCCCCCCAAGAGAAATTAATGAACACACAACCACACCACCATCTAGTGGACACATCATGGATCCTTCCACTCATCCTGCCAAAAAAAATCGAGGAAGGAACCAAGAGGCTGCATTTTTTTAATAATGCGGGTTTTAAAATGCCAACAGATCCTGGAGGTTACAGATGAAAAATATAAAAAATTTAAAAGCAACCAGATGGTTAAAGAATTCCTTTTTAGTGTAGGGGAGGTGTGCCCCAAAACAAACTTCCTTTCCACCACCGTTCAGGGGTTCTCAACCTCAATTTCTGACCTGCAAAAGCAGAGGTCTCCAAACCTGGCAACTTCTAAGACTTGTGGACTTTAACCAGGGGTGGGATTCAAAATGTTTAACAACCGGTTCTGTGGGCGTGGCTTGGTGGTCATGTGACTGGGTGGACATGGCTTGGTGGTCATGTTATTGGCTGGGTGTGGCCAACTCAATATCACTCACATGGAGGCACGCATTTCCTCGCCTGGCCTCTCATGACTGTGGGGATGCTGCAACAGTCGTAAGTGTGAAAAACGGTCATAAGTCACTTTTTTCAGTGCCATTGTAACTTTGAATGGTCACTCCACACAAGCAAAGTACCAGCAAAGGAGGGGGGGGGAAACCACAGAGAGGTTCCAGAGAGAGGAAGTCTAGTCCTGCCAAGAATGTAATAAGGGTTAACGGAGAGGCAGTTTCTGTAAGTAACACCAGAACGTTTCCTTCCTGCTTTCCTTACAGGATTAGGCCAGTAATTTCTTCTAACAACCGGTTCTCCGAACTGATTAGAATGCTAACAACCGGTTCTAGCAAATAGGTGCGAACTGGTAGAATCCCACCCCTGACTTCAACTCCTATGCTGGCTGGAGAATTCTGGGAGTTGAAGTCCACAAGTCTTAAAGTTGCCAAGTTTGGGGACCCCTGTGCAAAAGGATCAGAGTTATAAAAACTAGGAAGTGGTGACTTCGTTCTGATTTGGCAGCTGGGGCTTTGATATAAACGGGTGGATTACTTTGATAAAACTTTAGGCATTTGGATACCAGGAAGGTGTTTATTGTTTTCAGGTAGGACAAGATGCTCTTCAAATTTTGCAAAGGAGGATGCCAAGTACCCCTAAAATTCCAAAGTGCAGATAAAGGACAAACAACATGCAGTGAAAATAGATCCTGGCCGCCTTGCTGGCTGCCTCCATTTTATGGGTTCCTCTCTATGGCGCAGAATTCTTCTAGGCCAGGATGTTTGTTGGCTCGTTCTTCTGGTTGCAGTCTGTTGCAGCCGTAGACTCTGCTCCTTCGCCTTCAGATGCAGTAACTCTGGGGTGTATTTCAGATGTATTTCTCTGGTTGCATATGGCATGCAAAAGAATGCCTGAAAAGGTTTTTTTTTTTTTTTTAAGAAAGAGGGAGGTGGTATGGAAGGAAAAAGAGAGAGAGAAAGAAAGAAGGTGGTGGATAAAGGGATGGAGGTGGATAGAATAAAAGATGGTAGGGAGGAGGAGGAGGGGAGAAGGAAAGAAGGTGGACAAAGAGAAAGAAGGGAGAGAGGGAGGGAGGAAAGAAGGAAGGTGAATAGAGAGAAGAAGGTGGATGAAGAGGGAGGGAGGGAGGGAGGAAGGAAAGAAGGAAGGAAGTGGATAGAAAAAAGATGGGTGGAAGAGAGAAGGAAAGAAGATGGAAGGAAGGAGGTGGATAGAAAAAAAGATTAGAGGGAGAAGGAAAGAAGATAGATAAAGAAGGGAGGGAGAGAGGAAAGAAGGAGAAGGAAAGAAAGTAGACAGAGAGAAAGAAGGGAGAGGGAGGGAGGAAAGAAGAAAGGTGGATAGAAGGAAAGAAGATGGATAAAGAGGACGGGAGAGAGGAAGGAAGGAAGGAAATATGCAAATATATTAGCTGTTTCCAAACTCTTTTATTTTACTTTTCTCTGAGAAGCAAAACACTCTAGAGAGAAGGCAAACTCTCTTACCAGCTGCCACTGACACGTTTAAGGACTCCACTCCAAATTCCAAATCCCTTCCTGGAGTGATGGTCAACATCCTGTGGCATAGCATTTGTGTCTCTGGACGTAGGCCGTAACCTTCATTTCCTGTAGGCGTGTGTCAAAAGGAGAAAGACTTGCAGTTTAAATCTGGAGTTTCAAAACAGGGATTGATTTATTTATTTTTCCAGCACCTACATCTTACTTTGATCTCTTTCTGCTTGAGAGCCAGTGGGAGAAAGTCCTGGAGATGTGAGGCAGAGAAATCTAGGCTGTGGGCCTTGAGGCTTCTTCCAGCCCAAGTCTACAGGGACAAGCAGTCCTCGGACTTACGACATTCATTCAGTGACCATTCAAACTTAGGTTGGTGCTGAAACAAGGGGCTTACAATTGTTTTCCTCGTGACCGTTGCAGCCTTCCCCGTGGACACGTGATCAAAATTGGGATGCTTGGCAACTGACTCGTATTTATGATCTACTCACAAAATGGCTCCCCCTTGAAGATGGCTATGAGAATCATTTAAATCAGGGGTGTCCAACCTTGGCCACTGTCATGCCCCTGTCGGAATCTGATTTGGAGGGGGAGGCTGAACAGGCTAACAGGGAGTGGGAGTGTGGCTCCGTTGGCTGTGGAAGAAACTGGGGAAAGGCAAAGTCCGGCTGGGCAGAGCAGGGGAGGGGTAGAGCAAGGGAGAGGGAATTCAGAGGAAGACCCAGGCCTACCCCCCTCTTCATCCTAAGGCATGCAGGGAGGAACGGAGAAGGGAGCAACGTGAGTTGCGTGGCTTATAGGGGAGGAAAGGGCCCTGATTCCCTTCATTAACTGTAGCTGGGAACACAGTATTTAAAAAGGGAAGCTGAACGCAGCAAGCTGTTGGGAGCAAATCATGAATTTATCTGGTACTATCGAGGCTTATCTGTGTTCCTGGCTTCTTCCCAACTGTGTGTGTTTTGCTGTGCTTTCAAGTCTGCAATTCCTTCTCCTGCCCTGTCCAGTTAATTTACTGCAGCGTGGTTTGTGTGTATTTTTATTTACAGTTTGTATGTACTTTGTTTTCGAACTGAATTTCCTCCACTTAAAGACTGTTCTTGGGAGAGTTATTTTCTCCAGCCGCAGGTAACCTGGACATTGGGGGCAAAGTTGGAGATAATAAAGGGACTCTTCTTACTTATGTGACTGTGTTGCCTTTGTGCCACGCCCCTTTGGGTCATCAAAGCCACTTTAAGCCTTGCGGACTTCAACTCCCAGAATTGGAGCCAAGCTGGCTGGGGAATTCTGGGAGTTGAAGTCCTCCAAGGCTTAAAGTGGCCAAGGTTGGAGACCCCTGATTTAAATGATGTTATTTTTATAAAATATATGAAAGAATTACAGAGTTTCCATACATCTGTCCCAAGAACGCTCGCCACCACGGCAGACACTGAAACCAGAAACTCTCTTCCTTTCCCCGCTTCAGCAGAGTTACTAGGCCAACATGACAAGTGAAAGTTTAATTAGAGCTTTCGATTGATTAGCAATTAAACTGCCACCCCAGCGAAACAAGAGCAGATGCTCCAGTTCAGACCTCTGTCTTCACTCTCAGCTCAGAGGAAGGATTTCTTACGAATTTAGATGACCCAAGGATGCAGGTAGAAGGGACATTTAAAAAGAATGTGCAAAAGCAAATGCACCAAAACAAAATTATATGTATAAATACATAAAATCGTCTTTCTGAAGCAATCACTTCAAACCTAATTGCAAGGAAAAAGGGATTGGAATTTTTTTTTTTTGTTACAAAGAAAATGGCTCTAGAAACATTGATGGTAGTGCTGAAAGATCAACTTCTTGGCCCAAACCACCTCACAGGGATGTTGTTGCGGGGAAAACAGGAGGCAGGAGAATTAGTATGTTTGCCGCTTTGAGCTGTATAGATAAGAAAGGTAAGATAATAATAATAATAAGACGAAAAAGGAGAAGAGACGGACAGGAGATAGAGAGAAGGAAAAGCTCGGAAGGAGATGGGGAAGAAAGGAAGGAAGGAGACAAGAAGAGAAAGGGAGAAGAAGAGAAAGGGAGGAGAGGGAGAAAAAAGAAAGAAAGAAAGAAAGAAAGAAAGAAAGAAAGAAAGAAAGAAAGAAAGAAAGAAAGAAAGAAAGAAAGAAAGAAAGAAAGAAAGAAGGAAGGAAGGAAGGAAGGAAGGAAGGAAGGAAGGAAGGAAGGAAGGAAGGAAGGAAAGAAAGAAAGAAAGAAAGAAAGAAAGAAAGAAAGAAAGAAAGAAAGAAAGAAAGAAAGAAAAGGAGAGAGGATGAAAGAATGGAGTGAAAGTGAAGGAAAGGAGAAAGGAATGAGGTGAGAAGGGGAAACAAAGAAGAAAAACAAAAAACAAAGACGAGAAAGAGGAGAAAAGGGGGAAAGAAGGAGAGAAGAGAAAGGAGAGGTGAAAGGAAAGAGAGATGAAAAGAAAGATGAGAGGAGGAGAAAGAGAAAGAGAAAGAGAGGAGAGAGAAGAATAGAGGAGAGGAGAGAAGAATTGAAAAATATTCCTCTACGCTGTTTCCCATTCATTCAGGATTCAGGATCTAATTGGCGGCTCTTTTTAAGTTTCACCTTACAGACTGACTACAATAAAAACACGGTCAGAGATTCCTGATGTGTCTCACAATCTCCCTCCTAAGCTGCTGTTCTCAAGTTCTTCAACAGGAACAATCTCTTTTTCCTTACTGCAGTCTTTTCTCAATCTATTTGAACGGGCCAAAAAAGAATTTCCCACACCGGTGTGTGTGTGTGTGTGTGTGCGTGTGTGTGTGTGTGTGTGTGTGTGTGTGAAGGATGGTCTCTCCTTGTCCCGTCCCATCCCCCCCCCCAACTCTACTCCATGGAAAAATTTACCTACCGAGTAACAGTACGGTGGGTTCAATCCAGCGAAAGTCTGAGCAAGAAGCCACCGGAATGTCTTCCGGAATCTTTCCGTGGCCAACCGTCCCGAGAATTTCCCAGCCTTCTTCGGATTTTGTCTTGGGAGGGGAGAGAGGAGGGGGGGGGGAAAAGTCACTCAAGTTTCAAAGGCATAGAATCAAGTTCACGTGAAGTGTTAATACTCCTTTTCTTGGTAAGGCCACACTTGGAATCCCGCATCCAATTTTGGTCACCACAATGTAAAAAAAAGATGTTGAGAGAAAGGGTGCAGAGAAAAGCAACAAAGACGATTAAGGGGACTGGAGATTGAAACAGATATCATGTCGGTTGCTGAAACTGGGTATGTCTAGTTTGATGAAAAGGAGGACTAGGGGAGACAGGATAGCAGTGTTCCAATATCTCAGGGGATGCCCCAAAGAAGAGGGAGTCAAGCTATTCTCCAAAGCACCTGAAGGCAGGACAAGAAGCAACGGATGGAAACTAATCAAGGAGAGAACCAACCTAGAACTAAGAAGAAATTTCTTGACAGTGAGAACAATTAACCAGTGGAACAGTTTGCCTTCAGAATTTGTGGGTGCTTCATCACTGGAAGTTTTTAAGAAGAGATTAGTCTGAAATTTGTCTGAAATGGCATAGGGTTTCCTACCTAAGCAGGGGGTTGGACTAGAAGACTTCCAAGGTCCCCTCCAACTCTGCTATTCTATTCTATTCTATTCTATTCTATTCTATTCTATTCTATTCTATTCTATTCTATTCTATTCTATTCTATTCTATTCTATTCTATTCTATTCTATTCTATTCTACTCAGATCTGTGCAACATTTTCCTTTTTTTACACAAAGCTCAATCCTTTTGTTTCCTGGAAGGAATAGGGAAAAAATTATCCTGGTTGGTTTTTGGTTAAGTCGCTAGGCATGCTGCCCTATAAAAAAAAAGCTATTCATCTAGGAAACAAACAAATAAATAAATAAATAAAAATAGTTTGAATTGACTAATCCAATGTTTCTTAAATATAGCAACTTAAAAGGTGGGTGGACTACAACTCCCAGGATTCCCCAACCACTCAGAGTTGAGCGGCTCAAAGATTTAATAAATGAATGAATGCATAAACTCCCAGAATCTTCCAGCCAGCATTCTTGAAGCTGGGTGGGTTTCTATTCCCAGAAACCCCCAGCCATTTGTGAATTTGGCTTTCTACCTGATTCTTTCCCAGAAACTACAAGTCTTCCAACCCACCCGGTTGAATTTATGCCTAGGGAAAAACTGAGATTTTGAGAACCAGTTAAAAAACAAAAGGAATTTGTACTATGGTTTCCAATGTGTGTCTGTGTCTGTGTGTGTGTGAGAGAGAGAGAAATAGAGAGAGAGGGAAGAGAGAGAGGAAAAGAGAGGAAAAGAGAAAGAGAGGAAGAGAGGAAGAGAGAAAAATAGAGAGAGGGAAAAGAGAAAGAAAGAAAAAGGGGGAGGGAGAATAGGAGTGAAAGACAGGAGTGAAAGAGAGAGGAAGGGAGAAAAGGAGAAAAAGAGAGAGGGTGAAGAGAGATACGAAAAGAAAGGGATGGAGAAAGAGAGAGAGAGAGCAAGAAAAAGGGAGAGAGAGAGAGAGAGAGAGAGAGAGATTCCAATTGTTGCCCAATGCTACCATCTCATGGCCATTTGTTGTATTAAAAGCACCTGGTACTCGAGCAGTCCTTGACTTATTATGACCAAAATTAAGCCCAACATTTCTGTTGCTAAGTGAAAGGTGTGTTAAGTGATTTTTTTTTTGTTCCGTTATTTTTTAGCCATCATTCGGCACTGCAGATAAATAACTCCAACTGGGTGCGGTTGCAAATTATTAAAGACAGGAGGCGTTTACCTTAAGAAGTTCTTGAACATCATCGGTGCTAAATACATCGAAAACCTCCATGACGCCAGAGCTGGCTTTGCTAACCACGGGCGTCAGGGAGCAGCTGCAAATAGAAAAGCTACGGTTTAGAAAAGAACCCCTCGAAAAGGATGGCAAAACTTCACAATTATCTCAAAAGCCACACGTTTTTTTTAAAAAAAGACATACTTCAGCAGAACAAAATCCCAACCCTAATCCAGTTGTTACAGGTTCAGAGAAATGGGAGACCTCACAGCAGCTGCAAGGCATGCGATCCAGTTTCTTTCTTTCTCTCTCTCTCTCTCTCTCTCTCTCTCTCTCTCTCTCTCACACACACACACACACACACACATACACACACACAAAATTGCAATTGTCTTTCCAGTGGTACACTATTACTGGAGATGGAGGCTCCTTTGCTGACTCTCAGAGCTAGCTACCCTCCCAAACTGACTCAACTCAAAGATGCACCTTAAGTAGCAGTGAGTTGACAAGGTATGGTGGCCCACCAGTGGCCAGCGGCCCCTTGCAGCAGATTTGGACAGTGAGGAGGTTGGGGAGGAACATGGGCCAGTCCTGGAGTCTGGGGAAGGCTCTCACAAGGGCTCTGCATCAGAGGCAGAGGTGGGGCCAGGGCCATCCGACAGTTATCGGCTGCCTTCGGAGTCTGAGATCAGTGGGGCAGAAGAACAGCTGGAGCCTGTTTCCAGTGTGCACATGCGCAGAGCTGCCAGGAGAAGGGAACAGTTAAGGAACAAGGGTCGACTCGGGAGTATAGGCACAGGTGGACGGTGAATGGCCCCTCCCATAGGGAATAAAGAGGAGCAAAGGGGGAGTGGTATTTACAGGTGGGACTAGAACTCACTTCTAGTGATTGGTGCAAAGTCAGCCAGCTGGCTTTCATGCCTAAGACGGGACTAGAACTCACTGTCTCCTGGTGATTGGCCCAAAATCACCCAGCTGGCTTTCATGGCTAAGATGGGAATAGAACTCACTGTCTCCTGGTTTCCAGGCCAGCACCTTAACCACTTCACCAAACTGACTCTCCATTATTCAACACTTTGTTGACTATTGTTCAACCAATTTTGCTTTTCTCTGACCAAGAAAGACCAGCTCACCTGTTCCTTTGACTCATCACCATCCCGTCCACCCCTAGGAAGTGCGCCGTCCGCAGGACCGCCCCCAAATTCATGGGATCGTGTATCCCTTCCAAAACCAGCCAGATGCGCTGCGACCCCTTGCCAACCGGGGCTCGGTGGAGTGGCCCTTCCTGCCATGCCAGGGGGCGGAGAGGGGAGGCTTCCAAACACACCCCCTGATGGACTCCCCCTTTACAAAGAGCATCCAAGACCTTCTTCTGCACCCTTTTCACCGGGATGCCACGTTCCTCGGCATACTGGGAGAATTTTTCTGCCCCGGGAGATGTTCCATCTCGACTCGCTTTGAGGAAGAGCTGGAAAAACCTCCTCTTGGACCCTCCAAGGGCCAAGGAGCAGGGGGCTGTCCCAAACAAGATCTCCGAGCCTTGATTCCTTTCCGGGAGACAAAGATGTCTCTGCGGCTTTTTCTGCTTGGAGACAAAATCGTCATTTCTCAGGTTCCGGAATTCTTCCTTAATGGTGGATGGCAGAGCTTTGGTGCGGAATTTTGGGAAGGGTTTATTCTCAGGAACATCCCCCTGGCGGTTGTTTTTCCCACGGGGATGCGGTGTGGAGTTCAACCGGCGAGTTTCCTGACGTTTCGACGTTTCTGGGGAACGGCCAGGCTGCAAAGCTGCAGTTTCTTCGTTGCTGACTTCCTTGAGAGGCTGATCTTCCAACAATGGCGGTTTTTTCTGCGTGGAGAAGTAGCAGACGCTCTTAAAAGGAGCGGCAAGACAACTAACAAAGGGCAACTTTGCCGCTTTTCGGAAGGCAGCGTTAAAGGGACGGAGAGGGACCATTCTAAGTCTACTTCTTCATGGGTAACCTTAAGAAAAGAAGCGGAATATTATATGCAATGCTATGATTTCCTAGATCAGGGTGTCAGGGTTCTGGAAGTTACCCAGATTTAAATCATGAGTCTTGAGCCAAACTTCCAAAACTTAAAAAGGATTTATTGAGAGTTAAAATGTCCAGCACTGTCTGGGTATAGCCGACTCTGAGACACATCATTCCTTGTCACCCTTGACCCTGGTTTCCCCCCACCCCCTGGGTGTATCTTAATTCGTATTCTCCAATGGGACCCATCCATAGCCAAGAGTCATCAATCATGCTCTCCAGTTAGAATTTTGCAAGGCAGAAACTTCAGTCACCTAGTTACTATCTTTGAAAACATTTGTGGAATGCAGTTTCGGTTTTGCAAGCTGCTGCACTGCTCCCCTCTCCCTTTCTGTTCTCAACTCTAAAAAGACCATAGAAATATTTTATGAGTTGACACAGAGATCTCCAAATGTGGCAACTTTAAGACTTCAACTTCCAGAATTCCCCAGCCAACTGGGTTGAAATCTCAACCAGTAAATGCTTTGTCCTACACATTGGTAAAAAAAAATCAGTACACCAAATACAAGCTAGGCGGATATGACCTCGCTGACGACCCTCACTCTGTCAAGGACCTAGGAGTACTCATATCAAACAACCTAAGCGCCAGAGCTCACTGTAACAACATTGTCAAAAAAGCATTAAGAGTTGTAAATCTAATCTTACAAAGCTTCTCCTCTGGAAATATTGAATTGCTAACTAGGGCATACCAAAACTTTGCTAGACCAATACTTGAATACAGCTCAGCTGTCTGGAATCCACACTGCATATCAGACATTAATACAATTGAGCGAGTCCAGAAGTATTTCACGAGAAGAATACTACATTCCTCTGCTCGCAACAGAATACCTTACAGCAGTGATCCCCAACCTTTTTGACGCCGCGGCCCGGTACCGGCATCAGCTGGGCGCCGCGGCCCGGTACTGGCATCAACTGGGCGCCGCCATCTTTTTTTGATGAAAAAGTGCTTCCGGTGAGCTTTCTACCCGGAAAAGCTCACCGGAAGCACTTTTTTACCAAAAAAAGATGGCGGCGCCCAGCAACCAGCGGCCCGGTAAGACTTGTTCCGCGGACCGGTACCGGTCCGCGGACCGGCGGTTGGGGACCCCTGCCTTACAGCACCAGGTTTGAAATTTCGGGCTTGCACAACCTAGAACTACGCCGCCTATGGTTGGACCTAAGCGTAGTACACAAAATTATCTGCTACAACGTCCTACCAGTCAACAACTACTTCAGCTTCAACCACAACAATACAAGAGCACACAACAGATACAAACTCAATGTAAACTGCTCCAAACTTGATTGCAGAAAGTACGACCTCAGCACAGAGTGATCAATGCCTGGAATGTACTACCTGACTCTGTCGTTACAGCCTCAAATCCTTTAATCTTAAACTATCCACTATTGACCTCACCCCATTCCTAAGAGGTCTGTAAGAAGCGTGCATAAATGCACAATCGTGCCTACCGTCTCTGTCCTATTGTCCCCATTTATTCATACCTATTTCCTGTATTCATACTCATGATTATCCTTATACCTATTGTCTTGTAAGCGATTGACAAATCAGATAAATAAAATAAAATAAAGTCCACAAGTCCTAAAGTTACCATGTTTCCCAACCATTTCCAAACTTCAGTTGCCAGAATTCCTCAACCAGCACAGCCCTTGACTGGACCTGGAGCCAGTCATTCTCCCTCAGCCCAAAGAAAGAGGCAAGGCCTACCACTTCGGGGGTGAAAAAAACATTGGCAAGAATATTGCGAGGACCAATCCAGGAGTTGCCATGTGTCAAAACTGATTTAAAGGTATCCCAAAAATAATAAAATGAAATAATAAAAATAATGGTCGCTGCTCTGTCTCTAATGTCATAATAAGCGACACGAGAAAAAAAATATCATTAAAAGAATTCAAGGGGTTGCCAATAGGATTTCTGCAAGTCAAAGTGGAAGGAAAGACTGCTAGTTAGTTAGTTAGTTAGTTAGTTAGTTATTTTATTTTATTTTTTTAATTTACATGTCGGCCATATCCCTCTATTATGCAATTCTGGGTGGCTTTAAAATATCATAAATGACAATATAACACAATTGAAAGGTTAGAAGCATTAAAACTCAAGGCACTAAAAGTTCAAATTGACAACAAAGTAGACAAAAATGCCATGCCCTAAATTGAACAATTTTTTTTTTTAAAAAAATCATTTTTAAAAATGTGCTTCTCTGCTTTCCAAACAGGATGGGGTGTTATCTATGGAGATTCTCAATCATCCACGTCATGGTTGCCTCAAAGGTGCTTTTTACAAAAAACAACTGGAGTTTGTTTGTTTGTTTTTCCATTGAAAACAATTCGCTTCTCATCCAAAAAGCTGCTTCTTCGCTTCTTTTTTCGGTTCTTCCACAGTTCAGTTCAGAAGCGAAGAAGCTTCTGGGATGAAAAGAGGAACGTTTTCAAAGGGGAAAAAAATAGAAAGTCCATTTGCTCTTTGGAAAAAAAACACTTTTGGGACAGCAGATGAAAAGGAATAGGCTGAATGGAAAAGATGAATTTAAAAAAAAATTGCTTTGCATTGGCCGGGAATCGAACCCGGGCCTCCCGCGTGGCAGGCGAGAATTCTACCACTGAACCACCAATGCACTCATATGGAACTAGAACAAGAGATTGTCAAAGGAAATATGATTCCATGGAGCAGAAACACGGGACGGAGTATCACCCTAGTAGAATGGGAAAGAATCTGGAATAGGAACATTAAGATCACGACATCAGCAGCCTATAAAGAAAACTCATACAAAATGTTTTATAGATGGCACCTGTCCCCTTCGAGATTGGCGAAAATGCACCCCAACATGAGTCCCAAATGTTGGAAATGTCAAAACATAGAAGGTACCTTCTTCCATATGTGGTGGTCATGCAAGGGAACTCAGAAATATTGGCAAAAAATTAGGCATTGGCTAGAGGAGATAACTAAGGAACAAATTAAGTACAAACCAGAGTCCTTCCTTCTAGGAATTTTTGATAAACAAATATCCAAAAAATCGAAGTATATTACAATTCATATCCTAACCGCGGCCAGACTGGCGTTCGCTCAGTGCTGGAAATTACCTTCTATCCCCACTGAACAAATGATCATCCAGAAAATTTTAGAATGCGTCGAAATGGACAAACTAACCCAATCATTAAAAAATAAAGAATCCTCAACCTATTATAACAATTGGAATCCTTGGTATAATTGGCTAAATCAAAGATAGACCACTTCGAGAAAAATTGTAGCCAAGGGCTACCTAAGTAGAGATATTGAAAAGTACCACTGACGATATACTTGAAGAAGAAAGGATCTTACAGACAGTCACAAAAATATGGTTTTATTTTAACTGTTTTCCCCATGCTACCCCCCCTTTCCCCTACCCTTCCCTCTCTTCCCCCACTTGCCCTCCTCTCTTTCCCTCTTGGCCTCTGTCAAGGCCTGTTTGCTTTTTTTTT